AACAATTTGCACATCTTAATGGGAGAACCGCAAAAATAAGGTCGTACACATTTGGCTGGATATAGCTTCAATTTTTCAAACATTACATCCGGTATCGCCGGAAATAAAAAGAAACGAAGCCTGTTTATGGCCAGTTTTTTGAACTTAGACCACAACAATCTGACTTACTGGTCGGATATCGCCTGGCGTCCGACAGCTGTCCGACCATGCCAAAATCGATGGTATGAAACATTTTGCATCTAAATAATGCGCAATACGAAGAAATGAGCCATTTTACATCTACGAAATTGTAGTATATTTTGCATACACCCAGAAAGTTATTCGACAAGATAGAGAGGCATAAATTCCAATTCAAAATATCTGAATCACAGTGTATTACAGATACACAGCAACACATTGATTAGACCCAGTTCGTTAGAATTATCCGATATGAACTTTCTGCTATTGAACGGTCAGGAACTCTTCAGATACAGTATACCATACAGGAGAATATCCCGCGAAAAGAATGTATTACTCATTACAGCATCCAGTAGAGTTAATGCAGAATACAAAACTGTTGTAGTTGCCAGAATCTTATCGTTATCCAATTGAATAGAATTGCCATGCTCATGCAAGACACTAACTTCGGAAATTATTAGCTTGTAAGTTTATCTTTCGTACAGAACAATCACAGGTACACAATTAACATGTATTGTAATTATAATAGAGCACTAATAAGAATTATCCTGAGTCTTGAGTTTTCGAGGATTTATCCTCTGTCCGTCCAGTAAGCCCGTACTACGCTTCTATTTGCTTCATGCTCTCATGAATTCTCAGGGCAGCTTGTTATTGGGAGACTAGCGATTGATTGCTTCTGCCCACGGTTGTTAATCAGTCCTCTCGTTCTGCCTGAAATTCGATGACCCATCTAGAGTACGATATCGGAAGTTCACCCAACATGGAAACATCGCAGATGTGACCAGACCGAGACAATGGCGTTCCGCTTCAAAGGCGTCCACAGCCAGCGAACAGTGTTGCGCAATTCTGGTTGTTCGTCAGGTGAGACGGAGGCCTCATTTACTTTGCAGCGGAAACAAACGTTAAAGACCAGCCAGTGTGTAGAGGCTACGAGGTCCGTGAGCAAGCTCCACGCACATTCATTGATGTCGTAGAGGGGCCAGTAAGCTGGATGCAAAACATTTTTACAATGTATCTGCGTTTGGCTTTCGCGGAACGACTCGCCATAACCAGGTTAGCTCGTTGGACTTCAAAACAATGCACAGAGTGAGGCAGCAGTCTTGGCCGCGTCGGTGATTGTATATGCCATGATACAAAGCCGTTGAAGTACCCATGTAGTCCTTTCCGTCTGCTCGTCGACGGCAACCTATTCTACCTGGAACGATTTTGTAGGACTCCGAGTAACAACTGACCCAAAGAGCAAAACCAGATGACGCGAGAATAAAAGGCACTGTTGTGTTGCAGCTAATTTCCACTGCCGCTGCTACAGAATAAAGACGATTTTTCTCACCCCCTTTTAACGTCATCATACATATTTTCTCTTTCAAGTTTTAAAAGGCTAAAAGAAAGAAGCCGAAAAAAGCAACGGGTTTTAGGTCTAGACAACAATGTGAGCCTGCGAAGAATCGCAAGGAGCCAGCCAACGAAAGCGGCGAAGTAACGAAAAGACGAACACGATGACAATATTAGGCATCGCTAATGGCCCAAACACGCCAACTCAGCCCAGCTAATTATTTGGAGCTCCAGTGAAGACAGCGAAAGAAAGACGTACTGCGTTAAGATGGCAGCCTGCCGTTTCCCGCTGCGTTTGTATCGTGCGTTAAACATATTAGTGGCAGACGCAACTGTCCGCGATTGAAAATGGGCCATTCGAAGGGCTGCACTGTACGCCGAATCGCGGCCGGGACGCCTTCGACTTCCCGGTTAATCTACTGTCCTGGGCGCCAGCAGAAATAGCAAAGCAGATTTTTATCACAGTATGGGGAACCGTTGCCGGCGTGGCACGTACATAACCCACCAGTGCTGGAGTCATGCTTCCATTTAGTCTTCTCGTCGTCTGTATCGTAGTTTACTTACGTAGAGCGGGCTTGCGTGTTGTTTAACTAACGTTATCTTACCCTGTCCAACCGCCTGCCAACCAACGAACGGCAATAATATCCATACCACTGCTCTCGCTATATTCGAAAACCAGTAGTAGAAGGCTGGCCAAGGTAATTTGTGTGCGAAGACGAGGGCTTGCTGGTGCACGTTCGTTTTAAAGCTGTTTTCTATCGTCGTTATTGTAACTAGTTCCGTTGCAATGAAAACGGATGATTCATTGTCTATTCTGCGTCTACCTAAAGCACCGGACAAGTAGCGCTTTCTAACTACTACGTAATGCTGTCCGTTATTCGACGTCGTTGTTATTGCTATCCCCGTCGTCATTTGAGATTTCGAAAAGGCCGTGGAGTTGATCTGTTTAGAACGAATGAAAATAGAGGAAAAGCTATGCGTGTTGCCTACCATCGTGCCGCTACGTGTTTCCGAGGATTCGGTACGAACAACGGATTCATCTGAGTGAAGACAGCTTATTGAGTGGATTAAAAAAAATACGACTCTCAAATGCTGTTGCTCCTCGCCGCGGCTCGTTGCGGCACTAACATTAATAGTAATAGACGTAACAGTAGCGGTTGTAGTTCTCCTAACTGAAGCTCGGAATCGTCTAAGCAGCGTCCTGCGTGCATGAAGGAGCGAGACAAAGACGAAACGAGAAGGAAGATCAGACTTACCCAGAAGAAAACAAGGTCAAATAAAAGTAAGACCAAAATCTTTTATCAGAATTCAGTCGTCGTTAGTTTGCTTAGCATCTGAGGAGCCTCAGCAGCAGCAGCAGCGGCAGCTGCGATTTTCATGGTGCAACTGTTGTAGAAACATGAATAGGATAACTTAGAGAAATAATGGCGGAAAAGTTGAGGGGGACTAAGACGAAAACGGATCAGAAAGAACGTTTTATGTCGGGAATCACCGCAGGAACGGTCGCTATTCCGTTGGAAGAGATGGTGAAGACAAGGGGTGACAGGAAGTTGCGTAGGGGGTAACCAGGCCTGTTCGTGACGCTAATATAGTTAGAAATTACTTCTGTCTAATACAGCATTCAGTTTTTCCCTCTATCTTTTACGTTGGGTTGTTTGTTGTTGTGCGTTTTACCAAAGGCGGAAAGGAAAAGCCCAGCCGCGCGACGGAGCTTAAACAGCAGTTGTAAAGCTACGGAACTTGCAGATCAGATGAAATTTCATAGCATCAGTAGTCCATTTACATATATCATGATGCCCCAGAACGACTTAATCAGCCATAGCGGCCCCATATAATCGTTTAGATCATTTATACGATGTCAGGATCTAACAGACCCATCGTATTCTGACCTACATTGTATCAATTTTACAACTAAACTAAACACGAATAATTTGTCCAGTTTACCAATCCTGCTGCTTTTGTCAATGAGCTAAACATCGTCATATGTCTTTATGATCCGCCTTTTAACCGATTCGACCGTTTCGCGTCCCACTGGCCTGACGATGTCACCGAGCCATTAAACGCTCAGCACGTTTCTCAACATTCTCCCACTGACCTTTCCCACTCATGTAACTGGGTTTCCTTCGTCTTCTTCGTTTTAGCAGAGAGTAAACGAGCTAACAACGACGCTATCAACTGGTCGCCAAGACGAACGAAGAATCGTGCTGCTGCCGATTCGACCACTTTAAAGCGAGCTGGCACCGACTTGGGGTGGGTCGACGGGTCAGTCGAATAGTCAGCTTGTTGATTTTATTGTCATTTGATAGCGCTAGCTGTAAAACAATGACCAATGAAACATTTAACAGAAGGAGATCACCAATTTAGAGCAAACGTGCCATTGGAAAATAGACTGCTAACCCTTGCATTAAATCGGGTGACTTAACATAGACATATATATATATATGTGGTTCAACTGTCGTTTCAAAGTCCCGTTGTTACAAGTCACTATGTCGATGATGTTTAAGTAACAGTACTTTAGCAAACATCCCATTAATCTTTAGCATGGTAGCGTACAGATCATATGGACGTTGCTTTCGGCGGTGCTGTGGCTGTTGTATTGGGTTTGCAGGCTTGTTGCTACGTTCATTAACTGTTAATGTCCTGCCTCGTCTGTTGACCATATGGTGATATTTAGCTGCTGCACTCATTTTTAATTCGACCAAAGACTATCGTTTGTAGCGAATGATCGCTTGTAATAGCAGCGGCGGCCTACCTGAGAGCTAATGTTGACTTCAGTTTCTAACAACAGGACTAACCAAGTTTAAAAGCTAAATTTTGAGGGAAGACGCGTCTTCTTTGCTTGCGGCCTATTAAACGTACCGGCTTGGCTGTTGACCAACCGGCTGGAAGGTCTGTGCAGTTGAGAAAAGGGAATTCTGCGTGGTCACCAAGGTTTTGTGCCACCAGACAGCTTGATCACAGCTCGACTTCATCGAACAGGCAAATGGCAAAGCGGCACGCACCAACATGTGGACATAGGTCCCTGCTACTGGTCAGCTTCTCCTGGCTGGATTTAGCTTTGTTACCTTCACCTTTGGTTAGGTCGGAAAGTGGCCTTTGTTTTTTGCATCGGTGATGCATACGCTCTAACATGAAGGTTATGGGTTTCTCATTTCTCCCAATTTCTGTGGTGGTGAAACCTAAGGCCAAAAGACCTGCATGACAAAGCCACGATGCCCTGGCACTCCGTTTTGTTTGTGGTCTTCACTGTGTGTTTGTATGCGTCTACTCTCTAAGTGTGCGGTTCTGAAAGCAGCGCAAAAGTACGGGCTATGCGGAGTGCTGGGTGTTTATTTGCAAATCTGATACGTATGCATGCATATACGTACGTAAAACATGCTCGGCTCATTTAATCTCGTTTTAACTGTAACCAGGATGTTTCTAAAGGTTACGAGACAATGCTTTCTGAATCATCTGGCCTGATGTTATGATTTTTCGTGGCAACAACTTACCGTAACCTGCGACGACGACGAGAATGTTGATCGCCAGAAATAGGTGTCTGGAACTTAGACATAGTTGTTCCAGCGTTAGGGGTAACTGTAGGTACGCGAACTTTGTTCTTTTTACGTAGTTTCCCATCATTGTGGCGTTTGGTGGCTGTGTTTGAGAGCGACGCGCCACCGGTTCGTTTTTGGCGCGTATGGAAATCACCCCTCCGCACTTCTGCTGTCGTTCCTTTGTGCTGTTTCGCACGAGTTTGGTAAAAAAAAAATATCACCACTCTAATAACAGCAACGACGACAACACGAAGGAGTGATTCTTCACCCTTCTAGGTATTACAGCCATGCCACATAATAGTTGATAGGTCCATTTATCGTTGTATCACTCTTTTTTCCCTCTCTTATTCTCGCTCTCTCCCTTTAACACTTTCATGCAGTCAGCAATTCGTGAGAACACCGGTAACACCGAAAACGACGACACACATATCCTTCACTCCACAAAAACTTACCACGACACACAGACGACCACTATGCGGAGAGGCGAATCGTTTGTTTACACACTGACCAACTCTTCAGCACTGGTTTCTATCACCGGAAGGCTACGAAACTTGCCTTTGGGTTTGCAATACGAAAAACGAACACCAAGTAAACGCCGATGGCTGGGAGGGGTTCCGCGAAAGACGGTGAAGTACAATTGTGTGCTGTGATGTATATCGTACTGTATAAGGAGATAATGCAGCCTAGCTGAACGAATGACATTAGAAACTATCGCCTACCAACACAACCACCGTTGAAGACTCTGCTAATCTTCACTTGTGCTCTATCAGCCAGTTTCTTGAATAGGCCGAAGGAAAAGCGCGAAGATCACGACGAATCAATCGACAACGTGAGAATCATTCACATGTATAGTACACAGGCATATTCACCAAGAAAATACTGGGCCAGACAACACACATATCTGTCCATCATAGCATTGTATCAAACACAGACTAGATCACAATATCTCTGGCAGCTGTTGCTTCAACGTTGATGTCATACTAGGCAAACCGTCACTTTAGTACCGCTTTAGCGCTATAGCGTGTTAACGGTAGGTACGGATATCGCTCTAGCAATGAATATCTAGTGAAGCACACAGACGATAGGTAGAAACTGTTATGGCAGATCTTTAGGTGCAGTCGTGACTGTCGTAATTGACCGACGTAACAGATTCTGCTGATATTACTGCTGTTGCTTGTGCTGCTGCGTCTGCATAGAAACCCTCCACACCAGGAACGTTTCAACGGCCTTTTTTGCCGTTAGTCACAAGCCAACACGTCAGGACTATAATGAAAATCACAATGCCAATGGCAAATATGTTCTTTACTAACAGCAAGAAACGGCACATCGGACGCGACGTCTGCACGCGCATAATCACTTATAGGACAGATCGGCGCGGCATCATGCGTCCGTTGTGGAGGGATATCTTCTGCGTGCTGGTGGGAGACCGGCGACACGGCAGTCAACAAGCACGCGGAACTCCTGAGCGCTCGACCCTTCCTCACGGCCGAGGCGAGGGGAATCCATCGGCCTGGCGAGGGTGGATGGCCCGACGCGCCCTCCTCCTGATGCTGCTCCTTCTGTTGCCGGTTCTCCTTCAGCTATTCTCTGGTGGCTGCTCTTCTTTCTTCTCTTTTTTCTTCTGCTGCCGTCCAGTGCAATGGTGACATTACGTCGGATACTCCTGACTGCGGCCTGCTTCTGCCGATGGTAATAGCAACTCAGGCAGGCTGTGTCTAGGCTACGAGACTATTTTGACATTTGTTAGAGCAGGTTTCGCGTTGCGGTCTTCGCTTAATTCGTTTAGCCCGTTCCGTTCGAATGTACAGTGAATATTCGGAGCATCTAAACAGCTCATCTAGGGAACCTATTTTATTTGGTTTACAGCATAATGTTTGGTAGCCTAGGTTTGAATCCTTCTGTAGACACATTTTACTTCATGCTAAAAGCCAGTTCTCTAATAAAACGCCTAATGGCGGTACCGGACTTAAAACCCGAAAAATTTAGCTGAAGTGGTCTAGAAACCGCTATTAAGCAGTCATTGAAATGCATCTTTAACAACGACGCCGACAAAGGCAACGGAATGTGTTTACATACATTTTTTTTATTAATTTAATATTTGACTTAAATACAAAATCAAGTCCTTTATTCAGTAGTTACTTGCATTATCTGGTTTCTGGCCACTTCTTCGCATACGTCAGGCCTGATCTTTACACTTTTCTCAAGTTCGCCCACCGTCCGTGGAGTATAATGATATATTTTGCCCTTCAAATACGAGTAAAACAAGTTGAGTGGAGTTATGTTACATGATTTGGGGGGCCATTCGATTTCACCTGTACTGAGATCCAGCGCTCACCTCACGACTCTAGTTCCTTATTAACGTGAATACGTATTTAGTCACTTGGAAGGCTGAACCATTTTGCTAATACCTCATACATGCCAATGTGTTTCAATGATCTGTAAGGTCATGTCCTGGTAGCGAACAGTTTCGTTAAAAGAATAGAGCTCGAAAATGGCTCAAAAATAACATTTTTGATACATGAATTAACGTCTGTTATAGAGAGCAGAATATAGATTGTCACTTGGTTTGTCCAGTGAGGCTCGAGCGGTTGGTTGCCTTGCATTTTTAGCACTTTTGGCCTGTTACGAGGGCAAAATTTAATTCCATTTCAAATGTTTAAATGTAACGTATTTAAGCGATATTTTAATAAGTTCACATTTATCGATAACGTTTATTATGGAAAACCTATCCGCAGATTAAACAAAGAATATTCCGAAGGTAGGTAGGTTGTGATTAAAGTTCCAAAGTAACGCTCTCATCGGGGTAAATGATGAATAAACATGATCGCTGAAATCAAACGCTTGTAGCACATGCGAGAAAATTTAATACTGCCTTAGAAACAAAAACAAGGGAACACCCTGTGTATATCAAATGTTACTCGCCTCTTATCATTAATCTTGAAAACTTTACACAAAACTCTCTCCTACGCATCTTAACGCAGGGTTCTTACTTGATACCGAGCGCTCACCTGCCTTCCTCTCCGGCCAGCCATAGGGCAATATTATTGCACAGGATGTCTTTAGCTCATCAGCGCGTATTGCGTCCGTAGAGTTGTTTGGTCGGCCTTTTTCTCAGCACAGAACCCTGTGTATATTTACGCAGTATACAGAATTGATGATTTCAGGATGTACCATAACGAACTTTACACGTTCAGAACTGTACAGCGTACAGATAAACTGCTTCTTCAAGCGTATGGTAATACCAGACCCATGGACAGAAGCTCGAGACAGAACCTTCAATCATATTTCAGTTCTTAGATACACAAACTTGTACAACTATACTTATGGGTCACAATCAATTTTACCAGACATCAAATAATCATAATAGGCAAAGCACACGCGGCAGTTATTGATTATGTTACCCATATACACATCGATGCAATAAATAAGCCTTATTTTATTTTAAAATAAATATAATCAAGACCAAAAATTGCTTTTCAACGCAGCGTCATTTGCGTCATCTTACATTGAAGCTGTCGTTCTCATAAGGTCCGTATCTCGAGGTGTCGCGTCATTCCATTGAGTCTTCTCTAGATATCATCTATTAGATAACCTTCATGATTGTGCAGTAAATCGGTAAATTATACGCACGTTTAGCCATGTGCTGACTTCGGAAAACAAACTAGAAGTATATACCTTGTGGAAAAAACCAGCAAGACTTTTATCAGTTGTCACTGGAGCTTTCAAACGTCGCTCCGAGAGTTCTGAATCGCTTTCAAAGGAAGCTAATTGCGTGTGATGAATGAGGTCGAGTTACCTAGGTTAAATCCAGGAGGGAATCGCTCAACACTGCCTTTTGCTAAACGACACGCTTGGCCGAACTGTTACAAAATGAAGTCGGATGCGTGGGCATCGTCTGTACGTGGTATTCCTGGTACGACTTTATAATAGTCCCACGCCTGCAAAGATCGTGTTTCAGATGTAGCAGCTTGAATTACGTGAAGTTAACGTCAGATTTGCCTCGAGCAAACAACAAGTTGGTTAATACTAGCCTGATTGCAAAACGCCTACAAAAACCGGTCTATCCGGCATTCGGTCATTACTGTTTTTCCTTCTACACAAGTTACTGTTTTAACTTTAAACACAGTTTTGAGATGAAACTATTACTTGCATAGAATTGTATTAACAATAACCGATCACCGTATGAGTACTGAGCTTCGATTGAATGAATTGGATAAATGCTACGATGAATGAAATGTTTGATCTAAATCTTGTCCATAGAATATAATCTCTGATAAAGCAAAGTGAGCCAATCACGAAAGTAAAATTTGTTAGAGGATGTACATAGGGAACAATGGTTACGCACTGATACTCAATATCCCCCGTTTGCCATTTTAATACTAACTATAAATTAATATGGTCTTCGTATCATAGATATGCAGCCTCACTAAGCTGTCACCAAGGTTAGTAAGGAGGTAAGTACTTCTTATGTCGAGATGCACAGGCGCTTCCTTAAAAAGTATGGCTTCTTGATCTAACCAGCACTAAGTGAAGTAGAGTCTATACACAATTGATTGCGCTAACGGCCCGGCTAGTTATATAAACACCGCAACAAAGGTTTGTTTCAACTTCGATAACTTCATTAAATCGTCGGCTACGACAGTCATTGCTAGTTAATAGTATTTTGGTAAAGAAAAGGCAAATCGACCATGTCGGCACAGTAATTGCGCTTCGTCAAATGACTCCAGCGTCGATCCCGTGTGTGACTTGACATATGTTGTGGTTATTTCATAATACTTTTAGTAGATTCATGCATAGATAATATGCACACGTCTTAATGTTCTATTGTATAGTCTTCACTTTGGTTACGACTTGACATAAGAACAGGAAAAACGACCAAAGCGCAGCCTGGAAAATATCCCTTCTGAAAGAAGTTATGACCTAAAGTAAGCCACCTTTAACTAAGAAGATATATCTAGAAGTGACTACATATGCCGAAGTAATGATAGCAAACTGATTGACTACAAAATTGTTGCACCAAATAGTGCACCAAAGAGTCACACAATAACGATCAACCTTCCCATACTCTGACGCCAGTAGGTTCGTGGTAATGGTGCCAAAAGCGTGTCATGACTCCAATATCAGTAGCACTAGTAATAGTATTAGTTGCAGCAGTAGTCATTTCGGGAAGTCTCATCTGAGGTTTTGGCGGGCGCCGCATGTACGTCTTGTATATATAAGCCCCGCCAAGTAGGCTTCTTCTATCTGGGCGACGTGCGCTGCTCCCTTGGCAGCCACCAGTCAGCATAAGAACTGAAAGCAAACTCTTATTGAAGAAACAAGGGAAGGCGGCATCATTGACTGGCCACCAGATGTCAAGATGTCTGCAGGATCCGTTGGTAGGGAACACATTATAGAAAGCAATGCATACACTGGGAGCATGATGCGCGCACATCACAAGTGCACACATACACTGTGTAATAGTCTAATAAGGCTGGGGCAGCATGAGAGGCTTCAGCCGCGTATGAGAGCTTGCGAACACCAGCAGCGGCAGCATGAGCAAAAACCGTACCAGGACTAGGAGGTGTTGTCCTGTCATTCTCGCTGACCTGTCGTCATCTCGCTATCGAGCTATGCAGCAGTGTTCCTGTACTACCGGCCTTACCTCTCCTGTATGAACTCAGGAGTCCGTATACTAACAATAGTGAAGCACCAGTTTTGCCGTCGTAGTTGGCAGTAGTGGCTGTCTGCCCGATCAATCCGCTCATGTACAACATAGGTTCAGCCGGTCAACTTATTGATGCTGCTGACACTAGTTGTGCTCATATACGACCAGGCAGCTATTCCGTCTACTGTTACCCTTCGCTGCTGCGACTTTATCCAGCTGGTTGCCTCACGATGTAGCTTCTGTCGTCTCTCGTTATGCATGTCTGGCGCTCGGTTTTATCACGACTGAGTGCCGCCAGTGCAGGAATGTGCCGAATCCCCAGTAGGTCTGCTGGTAGTCTGCTTGCTTTCCTGCACCATCAACGACGAGATTACAGCAACAAACGATAACTGTCGGTTGTTCCTGCTGCTCGGTATTTTTTCCTTTTCAGTTGTCATCATCATGGCGCCGCAGTGCTACTGGGAGCAGCGGCTGTGATAATATTCTTGTGGGCGATGATGCTTTCTCTGCCAACGCTAAGGGATTGCCTGTTCTGGTTGGCAACCTTGGAGTGTCCTTCTTAGTGCCACTTTCTGCCTCCGTTCTTGTTCGTCTGTTTTGGTTGCCTTCAAGCTCTCTTCAGTTCTTGGTACTATCTCTGCCTCCCTATGCTTTTCCTTTCCTTTTCCTGCTAACAAACCAACCAACCAGCTACAGCCACCGGGTATTTGCAACCGTTCCGT